CCCCCCCCCCCGCTCCACATCTGACCAACGCCACCACCCCTCTGCCCCTGCTCCATGTCTGGCTAGAAGGGGTACACTCCTTACAAAAGGTTGAAAACCCCTGTTGTAGAGAACCCATGTGTCTGGGTTTCTACTCTAACCACTGGCCCTCCCCAGGGGCGTGGCCTATTTGACCCTTTCCTGCCCCAAGTTGCAGCAGGGGGTGGTCTTCTGCCTGGACCCCCCCTGCCTGGTGGAGCTGGCGTGAGGACCAGGACAGGGACCTGAGTGCCAGGCCAGGTAGGAGCTGCAGCCAGGATTGGGGTTACCCGGGTGCCAGGCAGGCCCCCCCCAACCCAGACACTTGGATCTCTCCCTGCCGTGGGAGGGAAGGGGGCTGAGGGTTCAGAGCAGGGGGTGCAGGGAGCCCGGGCACCCGGGTTCTCCAGAGGGGAGTAGGGTCTGGGGGCAGGGGGGAGGGTTTGCAGCCCAGGCGCCTGGGTCCTCCTCATGCCTCTGGTGCCACTGCCCCGTGGGAAGGCTCCAGGAGCAGTAGGAAGTGGGGTTGTGGTGATAAGATTTTGGTGTCGCAAGCCAAGAAGGGGGAAGTGGTGACAGGGCCAGCAGCCAAGGGGGGGGTGTACCCTGGGGGATGGGGCTGCTTCCTGGCCCCAGGCAGACCTGCAGGGTTCCCTTGGAGAGGCTGGGCTGTGGGGGCAGGGCAGGGGGCTCTAGGGGCACAGTGCAGTGGCCAACGGGGCCCCCCAGGGGATGCCAGGGCCGTATCAGCCCAGCTGGGGCTGCAGTGGCCAATGGGGGCCACTAGGGGGCATTAGACATGTTGCAATATCTCTGGCTAGGGGGGAAACTAGGGGGCGCTGAGCTGGGCATGGGGGAGCCAGGGGCGGGCTCCGGCCAGGCCCCTGACCCCTGCCCTGGTGCTGCCCTCAGCTGAATCCCTGCTCGCTCCACCTGCCCCTGCCCCAATGGCCTCCCGGCGCTGGAAGTATGTGTTCACGGCCCTGCTGACCACCCTTGGCCTGCTGGGAGGTGAGTTGGGAGTCCAGATGCCTGGGTGCCCCCGGCTCTGCAGTTCAGGATTCATAGATTCATAGATGTTAGGGTCGGAAAGGACCTCAATAGATCATCGAGTCCGCCCCCCTGCCTAGGCAGGGAAGAGTGCTGGGTCTAGATGACCCCAGCTAGATGCCCATCTAACCTCCTCTTGAAGACCCCCAGGGTAGGGGAGAGCACCACCTCCCTTGGGAGCCCGTTCCAGACCTTGGCCACTCAAACTGTGAAGAAGTTCTTCCTAATGTCCAATCTAAATCTGCTCTCTGCTAGCTTGTGGCCATTATTTCTTGTAACCCCCGGGGGGGCCTTGCTGAATACTCACCAATTCCCTTCTGTGCCCCCATGATGAACTTATAGTTCTTTTGCCCTTAGTAAGGTTTCTTTAAAATACAACCAACTCTCCTGGACTCCTTTACCCCACCCCTTCTCCTCAGTGAAGAAATGTTTATGAATAATGTATAATGATACTACCGCATCCCTCTTGAAGTGCGGCGCCCAGAATTGCACGCAGTACTCCAACTGCGGTCTGACCAGCGCCCGTTAGAGGGGAAGTATCACCTCCTTGGTTCTGTTCGTCATGCATCTGCTGATGCACGATAAAGTGCCACTGGCTTTTCTGATGCCTTCGTCACACTGCCGACTCATGTTCATCTTGGAGGCCACTAGGACTCCAAGATCCCTTTCCACTTCCGTGCCACCCAGCAGGTCATTCCCTAGGCTGTAGGTGTGCTGGACATTTTTCCTCCCTAGGTGCAGCACTTTGCATTTCTCCTTGTTGAACTGCATTCTGTTGTTTTCTGCCCACTGGTCTAACCTGTCTAGGTCTTGCATCTGATGGATGCAATCAGGTGATATAATTTAAATAAAATTTACTGTCTGTACAAAGGCAGTAGACCTTAGCTCCTGAGAGGAAAAAAATCACTTTACTATTTTTATGAACATTTCAAACATACTTCAAAAGTAAATTATAACTGGGTTAGCTAAAAAGGCTGTAGAGCAGGATGATTCTTCTAGTTGTTGCTCAAATGCTACATACTTTTTTTACAGACTTTCCTGAAGGAACGCTTTGACAATGAAGAAATTAAACCAGATTTATGGATGTCCTTGGAAGGTGGAAATGCTTGTACTGAATGTGGAATTCTAGCAGAGGATACAGCTCTGTATTTTGGAGGCACTACAGTAAGACAAGCTGTCACACAAGACCTGGATCTGAGGGGTGCCAAGTATGTCATGTTACCAGCTAGAATTTGACATAGCTGATGTGTTCTAACAGAGGGCTTCATTAATAATAATAATAATAGAGATCAGATTGGTAACAAACATATAAATAAACAGTAACAGATAAGGCAGCTTATGGGAATGATGATACTGAACTTTTCACTTCTAAGCGACAGTTCAGAGTCATCTCTGGTAGACAATGACAAATGGTTCTTATTTTTACCATCAACTGGAATTTTTTCACTGACATTTGTGAAATGAGTCATTATTTATTTTTGCGGAGTATCTTGCTGCTTTGTAGGTATATGATAAGAAAAGGTCCTTACTCAAAAGAGTTTAGAACTTATAGACAAAGTTTAAGAGCAGTGCAGTGCTGGTGACAACTGTGTTACAACCTCAACTTCACAACTGACACCAGCCGGTACTCTGGCTGCCAGTCTCAGCAAAGAGGTGAAGAACTAAGTGGGCATGAGGGAAAAAATGTGTATGTGCCTGTGCTGTGCCCATTCTATATATTGACAGTATTTGAGAGGGTCACAGCAGCACATCTCACAAACACCCAAAAGGTTTTCAAAAAATAAGTAAACAAAAGTATTTACTTAAAAAATGCCAATTGTGTTTATTTATGTTCGGCTATAGGAGAATTGGATCTCTCCCTGTTTCCACTTTTTATGTGCTCCCCTTTTGGCCCGTAGGCTGCCCTGGATTTCTCTGGTCAGCCGGGGAAGCCTCCTGGCCCCTTTCCCCCTTTTGCCTCGCTCGGGGATCGTCTTGCTTTGTGCCCGAAGGATCGTTTCCTTAAGGCACAGCCACCCTTCCTGGGCTCCCATCTCTTCCAAACTCCTCCTCTGCAGTGCGTCCTTGACTAATCGCCTGAGTTCATTGAGATCAGCTTTCCTAAAGTCTAGCACTTTCACCCTACTAGTTACCTTACCCACTCAACGCCTTATGGTGAATTCTATTATTAGGTGATCACTGTCCCCCAGATGGCCACCGATCTGTAGGTCCCCTACCATGTCATCCCCCGTTGCCAATACCAGATCCAGTAAGGCATTCCCCTAGTGGGACCGTGTACCTCCTGTGTGAGGTGGAGGTCCTGTACACAGGTTAGAAACCTGCGTGAGCGGTGGGACTTTGCTGTCTGTGTCTCCCAGCAGATGTCCGGGTAGTTTAGGTCCCCCATGACTACCGCCTCTTTAGCTTTTATGATCTCCGAGAGTTGCCTCAGGAGCCCCGAATCCCTTTCTTCCCCTTGATGTGGGGGTCTGTAGCAGACCCCTACCACCAAATCCTTTCTCCTTGCCCCCCATGTAGCCTAACCCACAATCCTTCGACTTCCTCATCCTTGGGTTCCATCTTGATGAGGGTCGACGTATATTGCTCATTGACATAGAGCGCACCCCCTCCCCCTTTCTTCCCCACCCTGTCCTTTCTGTACAAAGGATAGTTAGAGCAGTGGGGTTCTGGGAGCCTGGACACCTGGGGTCTCCCCTGGACCTAATTCCCATGTGAATTAGGCTCCAATAGGAGATGTCCAGGTGACTTGGGCTCCTGGCTTTCTCAGGGGGGGTTGCCCCTTGTCACACCCCGGCTGCTCTGCTCCCCGCCAGGCGCTGGCCTTGGGGACTGGGTTGTGACCCTTCCATGAAACCCCATGTCCAGAGACAAAGGCTCCTGTGTGACCCTCAACTGCAGCTATGGAGGGCAAGAGATCGGAGCCATGTGTTGGGAGCAGAACAGTTTAATCACTGTGTATCACCTGGACAAATCTCAGATTAACAAGGCCTTCAAAAACCGGACCTGGTTCTTCAGCGAACCTCTGGGCAACTGCTCTCTGCAGCTCGTGGGGCTGTGCCCAGGGGATCAAGGCACCTACTGGGTCTGGATTCAGCAAAGCCCTGGTCCTTAATGGCAGCCTGGCCATGGATCTGTGCAGCTTCATGTAACAGGTGAGCGGGTCCTGTTTCCCCTGCTGGTTGCATCCGGGAGGAGACAAGGACCCCAGAATTCAGCCCTGGCCATCTGGGAGGGCAGCGGGGAGCCCGGACACCTGGGTTCTCCGGGAGGGGAGTGCGGGACCTGGGCTCAGCCTGGCTTGCGGGTGTCTCCCCACAGCCCACCCCTGCAGGCCCACCCTGGGGACAGAATTGGGACCAGGCATCCTCCTCTCCTGCTCTGTGCAGCCCGGCTGCCAGGGATCCTCGGCCTGGGGCAGCTGGGACGGGCAGAGTTTCCCAGGGCAGAACCAGGCCTGGCTCTTGTTGCCCCCGTCCCGCCTGGGCCCCAACGTGAAGCTGAGCTGCCGGGTGGATGGATACAGAGACCTGTGCAGCCCTGTGGAGAACCGGCCCCTGCAGCCAGGAGAGCTGTGCTGGGAGGGGCCTCTGAGCTGGGGGGACGGGACATGTCCCACAAGGGGGGGAGCAGGGGGGCCGGGGCCCGAATGCCTGGGATCTCTCTGTCTGGGGGCTGTGGGGATGATGCAGAGGGGTCTGGGAGCCCGGATGCCTGGGTTCCCTGGGAAGGGAGTGGTGTTGGGAGTGATGGGGCACAGGGCGCCTTTGCTCCAGGGCCTTACCCCGCTCTCAGTCCCCCGCCAGGGGTGCCGCGGAGTGGGATCCAGCAGCTGGAGGGGAGCAGCCCAGCGTGGGAAGGCACGTCCTTCACCTTGCACTGTGCGAATCTCCGCTGGGTGCCCATGGCCACATATCTCTGGTCCCACGCGGGCGAGTGGCTGCAAGAAACCGGGCAGGATTTGCACATCTTCAATGCCAGCACTGATGACGGAGGCGTCTACACCTGCAGCATCTGGGTCTCTGGCCCCGGCTGGGGGTTCCTGGTCTCCTCTGCCAGCAAATCCATCACGGTTCAGTGTGAGTGCTGGGACCCCCCCACCCCAATTGCCCCCTGAACATGGTGAGCACTGCCGGGGCCTTGAAGGGGCCAGACATGACGTTCGAAGGCCGGCTGGGTGCCCTCCTGGGGTTTCCCAGTCCAGCGGCTTTAGGTCCCCGCAGCCCTGAGCCTCAAGAGGGCCCTTTCCCCCTCCATCCCTTCCCGCTCCATCTCCGTCTGTGCCCCATCACCCCGGTGGGGGGGGTCCTAGTGGTGCCCCTTCTCCCCCTGGTCGATGCAGGGGCTGGGTACTTGCTCAGGAGACGCGGGCAGGGTAAGTTGGGGTTTAGGGGGAAACTGAAGGGGAGGGATGAGACCCTGGCTGGTCCCACACTGCCCCACTATGAGGTGAGGACAGGGGTCTTGGCACCCCAGGACCTGCCTGCCAGCTCCGCTGGGGCTCAAGGTGGCCAATGCTGCCCTAGTTCCTGTACTGCATCATGCAGGGGAGACTCACCCTGCATCTCTCTCTATACCGACAGGGCCTGTGTGGCCTGAGCCAGGACATTTATGTCACATTGGAGGGTCTGGAGAGTGCGGGCACTGTCGGTCATTAAGCTGACAAGGAATAAACTTGTGCTTGAGGCTAACAAAGAATAAGTGTTTCCAGCTAATGAAGAATAAACGAGTGTTTCCAGCCCTCTCCCCCTCCCACCCTGAGGGCTTGGGTCCCTCCAGCCTGCTCTAGCTAGAAACACAGGGCACTCCCTGCAGCCCCTTTTTTCAGGGGGTTTCACCCCAAAACCCTCCATGCAAATAAGGTGGGATGGGATAGGGGTGCCTGTTTCTTAACTCCTCATCTCCTGGGGCAAAGGGGGCCTGGACCCCCCTGTCCAGTGGGCCCGGTGCCAGGACAGGTAGGACCCACAGCCAGGATTGAGGCTAGCCAGGTGCCAGAGAGCCTCCCCCCGCCACCCTGCTTGGGACCCCAGACACTTGGGATCTTTCCCTGCCATGGGAGGGAAGGGGGACTGAGGGTTCAGAGCCGGGGTGCAGGGAGCTCGGACACCCGGGTTCTCCAGAGGGGAGTCTGGTCTGAGGGTCGGGGGGAGTCCGGGCGCCTGGGTCCTCCTCATATGCTGGGCACCACTGCTCAAGTGAAGGCTCTGCGCACAGTGGTGGTGGTGGTGGTGGTGATAAGATCTATGTGTCGCAAGCAAAGGAGGCGGAAGTGGTGACAGGGCTGTGGCTGGCAGCCAAGGGGGGTGGCACTGGGGGATAGGGCTGCTCCCTTCCCCCCGGGCAGACCTGCAGGGTCTCCTTGGTGGTGCAGGGGGCAGGGCAGAGGGCTCTACTGGGCTCTGTGCAGTGGCCAAAGGGGTCCCCCAGGGTGCGCCAGGGCAGTATCAGCCCGGCTGGGGATGCAGTGACCAATGGGGGCCACCAGAGGGCACTAGACCCACTGCCTGCCTCTGGGGCATTGTGCTGTGCAGAGTGCTCAGGCCAGGCCTGGAACCCAGTGCTGCCCTCAGCTTGCTCCATCTGCCCCTGCCCTGATGGCCTCCTGACCACCCTCGGCCTGCTGGGAGCTGAGATGGGAACCTAGATGCCTGGGTTCCCTCCAGCTCTGTGGTCTGAGGGAGTTAGTAGAGCAGGGGGCTTGTGGAAGCCTGGACACCTGGGTTCTCCCCTTCGTGTGACAATTAGGCTCCTATTGGCAATGACCAGGGGATTTGGGCTCCTGGCTTGCTCGGGGGGGGGAGGTGGCCACTTGTCACCCCCCGGCAGGCTGGCTCCAGGCCGTGCCCCCAGCTGCTCTGCTCTCTGCCAGGTGCTGGCCTTGGTGTGACCCTGCCACAAGACCCCAAATCTGGGCAGGAGGGCTCCTGCATGACCCTCAAGTGCAGCTACAACATCTCTGGGAGGGGGGTTGGAGCTGTGTGGTGAGAGCAGAGCAGAACAGGTCTGTCATTGCACATCACTCAGACAAGGCTAAGACTGACACGGCCTTCAAAAACCGCACCCGGTCCTTCCATGATCACCTGGGCGATTGCTCCCTGCGGCTTGTGGGGCTGTGCCCAGGGGATCAGCGTACCTGCCAGGTCTGCATTCAGAAACAGAATGACCAAAGTACTGAACAGTGGTGCAGGTCTGGATCCAAGCAGCTCCATATGACAGATGAGCAGGTCCCTTTTCCCTCACTGGCTGCATTTGTGAAATAACAACCTCAACATTCGTCCCTGGCCATCTGGGAGGGCAGCAGGGATCCCAGACGCCTGGGTTCTCTGGGGGAGTGGGAGACCTGGGTTCAGCCTGGCTCATGGGCATCTCTCCTCCCAGCCCACCCGTGCAGGCCCACCCCGGGGACAAGATCAGGACCAGGGACCTTTCTCTCTTGCTCTGTGCAGCCCAGCTGCCAGGGATCCCCAGCCTGGTACAGCCGGGACAGGCAGAGGATCCTGGGGCAGCGCCAGGATGGGACGAGGCAGAACTCACTCTCGGTGCCCCCGTCTTGGCTGGGGCCCAACACGGTGCTGAGCTGCCGGGTGCTCAGACACAGAGACCAGTGCAGACCTGAGCAGGACCGGCCCCTGCAGCCAGGTGAGCTCCGCTTGGAGGTCTCTCAGCCTGGCAGCCTGGATACCTGGCTTCTTTCCCCACTCGGTGGGGGGGAAGCAGGGGGCCCAGGAGCTTGGACACCTGGGTTCCCTGGGAAGGGAGTGGTGTTGGGGGGTAGCGCAGGGCTAGACCTCCCTGCCGGTGCCCCTAGACCTCCTTGCCGGCACCACCAAGGGCCACGGCTCTCGGCAGTCAACACCGTCCTAGCCCCTGTACCAGCCCGCGCTGGGGAGACTCATCTCCCAGCTTTTTCTCTGCACCAACAGAGGGAGGTGGTGGACGGGTCGTGTTTGACCTGGAAAAATGTGGGCAGTGCAGTTCCCCAAGGTTTGGTCCTTGGGCCAGTGCTGTTCAATGTCTTCAACGTGACTTGGATGAAGGCATGGAGAGCATTCTGTCCAAATTCACAGACGATACCAAATTATGGGGCAAAGTAAATGTACTGGAGGGCAGGGAACAGATTCAGGTAGATTTAGACAGATTGGAAAGGTGGGCAGAACAGAATAGGATGCAGTTTAACAAAGGTAGGTGCAAAGTGCTGCATCTAGGGAGAAAGAATCACCAACACACCTACAGACTGGGAGGTGACTTTGTAAATGGCACAGCAGTGGAAAGGGATCGCGGAGTCATAGGCGACTCCAAAATGAACATGAGTCGGCAATGAAACCAAGTGATAAGTAAAGCCAACTGCACTCTTTCATGCATTAGCAGGTGCATCACAAGCAGGTCTAGGGAGGTGATACTTCTCCTCTGTGTGGCATTGGTGAGGCCACAGCTGGAGTACTGTGTCCAGTTTTGGGCACCACGCTTCAAGAGGGATGCGGATAACCTGGAAAAGGTTCAGAGGAGGGCTACCTGTATGGTTAAGGGCCTGCACGTAAAATCCTATGAAGACAGACTGAGGGACCTGAATCTCTTCGGCCTCTGCAAAAGAAGGCTGAGAGGGGATCTTGTGGCTGTCTGCAAATTCATCGGGGTGGGGGGGCAGCAAGGAATAGGAGATACTCTGTTTACCAGGGCACCCCCCAGGGTTACTAGGAACAATGGCCATAAACTGACGGGGAGCAGATTTAGATTAGACATTAGGAAAAACTTCTTTATGGTGAGGGTTTCCAAAATCTGGAATGGGCTTCCAAAGGAGGTGGTGCTCTTCCCTACCTTGCAGGTCTTTAAGAAGTGACTAGACAAGCACCTGGTTGGGGTCATCTGACCCCAGTGCTCTTTCTTGCCCAGGGCAGGGGATGAGACTCGATGATTTACTGAGGTCTCTTCCAACCCTAAAAATCTATAAAACAGGGGCTATGGGGCCCAAGCTGGGATGTTTTATGCCATGTTGGAGGGTCCAGGGAGTGTGGGCACCACCGCTCATTAAGATGGTGGGAGTGGGCGATTCACTCTTGAGGGGGATGGAA